GCTAGGAACATTCAGCCCTATTTTCCAGTGAAGCTTTTGGATACAGAATTTTGTTTTTCAAAGGGGAAAAAAAGTCAAGTATGTGCCATAAAATAACATTGTGCCCTTAACCAAACTGCATGGTTGAGCTGGAGCTCCTGTGGCGCCTCAGAGAGGACATAAGGGATTTATACAATGGGCCCTTCGTTTCAGAACTACTTGCCAAGATGGAAAGTTTTACTCAAGTTACACACAGTTACACACAGAAAACATTGAGAAGTTTGAAGGGATATATATACAAATAAAGATGCAATACACATGCCTGAGAGTCACAGTAGGAATGGGAGTTGCACAACCACTGGACAGTCCCCATCACACATACTAACCCTATGTAGATACTCCCTACAGTGCCCCCAGTCTCTATCCCACCCCTGGGAACATCCAGTCTAGCCAAATCAAGATTGATACCTACTTTAACTCCACTGCATAGACTGAAGGACAAATTTCAAGGTGTTCTGTGGAAGTGTACATATCACTGTGCTCACACTGCATTTAAGACTTAAGATTCTTCCACCCCCATACCCAAAAGCAGCTGTTAATTGCTTTCTGCTGAAGCAAAGCATTCTGTGAAGATCTGGATTACTATCGGTTTAGGATAAAAGTCTGGCTGAAAAATATTAAATTCCTTCCTACTGCAGGAAATGTGTGATTAAATGTTCTCCACTGCAGGAAATGTGAGAGTAACATTCACATTTAAAATAATGCTTTAAGAGCTTTGATATTTTGTTTGAAAGGTCAGAGTTACAGCTTGAAAGCAACATGTTTGCCCTAAAAACTGAAATTCAGTTGTAGGTGGAGCTGAAGAGGACCTCCTGCTTCCACTCCCATGCCATGGATATGGCAGCAGCTGCCACCTCTCCCCAGATATACACACTCCAACATGCTGCTCAGGAGAAGATGGCAGAGCAGTTACCACTGGTGGCCTGTTACATTGACAGTTCCTGCCAGTAAGGAAGGTATACATTAGGCTGCACTCAGGCCAGAGGCTGGTGACTAAATTACAGCACAAAAGATTGAGACACATATATTTACAATGCCAGGGGAAGAAAAAAAATTTTAAAAAAATCACACAACTTAGCACTAAAATTTCTATGTATGCAAACACTGAAGAGGGATGAACTGTGAAGTCTGTGTGTTGTCTTAAACAAAATGCAAGTCTTTGAGAATGACTTTTCTTCATTATTCAATAGCATTTCCTAAAACATATTAACCATTTTTTGGAGTCCACATTCATTAACAGTGACCAATGTGATCAATTAAAGTCATAATATGTTTTTAAATCAATTTTTAAAAATAAATAAAGCCTATTTAAGGGTCTCCTTTCAAGATTACTCATCCTCTAGTATGCTATTAGTATGCAGTCTCATCAGCTGACCCTCATATATGAAATTACATTTTCTATTCTGTTATTGAGCATGTGCTTTTACAGTCTGTATGCTTAACCTAGGGAAGTAAACAAACACCACATTGTCTGCCTCAGGGACTCTTTGTTCTTTAAATTGGACTTGCACCCCTCACTGGCCAGGATCACTGACAGAAGCTGCCTGCCTCCCTTGGACGAGTTCTCAATGGACTCTACAGCATGCAGTACCCACAATTCTCAGCTGTTCTCTCCCTGAGCCAATCCAAGCTGACAGGGAATGACTTCTGTTCCCTCTCAACCTGGAGAGGGACTCCTGTCCCATGAATGACCTCTGCAGCATAACAGGCTGTCCCAGCAGGGAGGAGGATGAAAGCAGTATTGCACCCCATAGTGATACTGGCTGTGTGCCACAGCTGGCTGCAAGATACCTCCTTCCTCTGCCATGTCCTGAGTGGGAACAAGGGGAAGTGTGAGCAAGGCCAGGAGAATAATACTCAATTAGCAAAAGGGCAGCAGATTCAGGATGACTATAATGCATTCAGAAAACACAGCCCTCAAAACATATTATCATCACCAATAACACTTTACAAATTAACACTATTTGTGTAACCCCATAAGCTGTGAAATACCCCCAGAGTATTTCACAGCTTAATTAGCAGTCCCCCTGCTCATAATGATAAAGACACCAGATTTCACTAGTAGCTCAAGAAATCTGAATGCATGGGTTGGCAGAAATTGAAACACAGAGGTAACCATCATCTCAGAAGACCTGAAAAACAGAGGAGTATGAGATGTATCCAAGTATGAGATGTAGCACTGGAACCTAAGCGCTGTGAATATAATTCCCCCAAATCCATAAACAACTGAGCTATTGAGGTATCTTGTTTCTGATTCCTTAACTAATAAAAATTTCCTTCAGTATATACAAATTCAGCACAGACTATCATCTCTAAATCTCCTGAAATCAGGATTTCACAAAGATTTGTTTTCTGACATGCTTATTTAACACTATTTATTTTGCTAATGTATTTAGCAGGTTTTGAAACACTACATTTTATATGACCAGTGGCTAACTAGTACCAGCTAAAAATACAGTATGAGAATGTAAGCTATAAGTCAATACTCTTGCCAAATACATTTAAATTTAACTATAGGGGAGCGGGTTTAAATCTAGGTCAAATTTCAGTAGACTGACCTGGCTGGCTGCTCCAACCTCCCTAACAGAGCCAACAAACCTTTTAATGGTAATCCCCTACTCCTTTGACAACCTTTGAAGAAAATCACTCTCTCCCACATTTGATATTCAAAATATTTCAGCAGGTTTCCAAGCCATTTTTAACACCCTCCTAAAGTCACTATAAGCAGTTTTCTTGGACACTTTAGTGTCTTTTGACATAGGTTTAATCTTGCACATGTTTAGCCTCTCCCCCTCTCCTAGCCTCTCCCCCTCTCCTAATTCCAGATCTGCTATGTCAGAATAAGCATGTGTGCTCTATTTAAAAAAAAAAAAAAAAAGAAGAATAGTGATGAAAGTGTGTCCTCTTTCACATCAAGCCTGATCCCACTACTTCAATTCCATTCCTGAAATCATATAGCATGCTCCACCAGCTCGTGGTGAAGGTATAATAATTTCACCTGCTAGAGGCAGCAGTTAACTCTTGAAAAACAGGGAACAAAATCAAGAACACATGCATTGTGTCCATTTGCTTGTATGAAGCAGGCATGCTCCGCATTTTGGAATGACAAACATAAGAGGCTTAACATGCCAAAATAAAGATTTTATTTATTTTTTTTCAGTGAGTCTTCTCTTTCATACTGTTTAAAAATCATGCCTATTTTAGGTCTTGGTATTGTGGTGGTTGTTTCTCCCAAGCATCTGATCTGCACTGAACTAATTCTGTAAAAATATTCATGAGCGTGTTTAACAAGTTTTAACAAAAAGAGCAGGCATCTTGGGAGTCACAGCTGAATAGCAATGAAGTCTAAACATAGACATTTCAGAAAAAGTTATTATTTCTGAAAAAACTGAGGAGATATTGGTGCTATTTATTTTACAGTACTTCTGTTACACCCTAAAAGTTAACAAAGAAATATCCAACCATAGCCAAACACGAAGAACACACACAAATCATAGGAATCCTTACAGGTGCTTCTTGTAATAAATTTGTAATGCAAAGAACTTGCATTTTAGCATTTAGCAATTAAACTTTATTTCCCCATAGAGCACTTTGGGTGTTCGTTGGGTTTCTTTGGCTTGTTTAAATAACCTATTTTCACTCTGGATACTTTAATTCCTTTGGAGGTGCATTCTATTGCATTCTAAATTATTTCATGTCTTAAGGCATTATTAAGAATTTGAATAATGAAGAAGAAACCCACAGTGATCAAATGCAATCACTTTCTCAGTATTTTAGGCTCATTATGACCATATTTTAAAACAAAAAGTTACAATGCTATACCACCCACATGCATCTTTAAGAACAGAGAAAATGAGCAAACAAGATATACATGACTACTTTTCCAAAGCTTTTTGAGACAGCATGTAAAAGTGTAGTTTTTAGGAATGTCTTTTATTTATAATGCAGAAAGTTCACATAGAAGCCCAGACATTTAAGTTAAATGCCAGCTGTACATACTCAACTTTGACAGCCAAGGATCTCTTTGTTGTTTTCTGTTATCTACAGACAGTGTTCAGGTTTTCAGTGCTGTTACTATGAGCACAATGGTTCCATTTATTCCCAGGAAGAAATTAATCCTGATTGCCTTAAACCTGTGATTTCATTTGGACATACAACTTTTTCTCTCTATAGCTTTTTTTTATTTTTTTTTTAATGTGTGTGCGCGCGCGTGTGTGTATGTGTGCATGTTTTGGTTTGAATTACTATTAGGTAGGATACACATTGTCTGAAGTATATTCCTTTCAGTGGTGCACAAATTGGTTACAATCTTACATATTAGCCTGTATTTTGTCTTTCTAGACCCAGAGCCCTCTGAAATATTAAAGGTAGTGAATTTTTGCGGGAAGGTAATCTAGGAAAAATGACAGATTACTTCATAATTTAATGGAAAATCCATGGCAAAGCAAATGTATTCTAAACACCAATAGGCAGGCTTATGCTTAGCATAATAATTTAATAATTCACTCAAGTTGCAAACAGGTTAATTGTGTCAAGATAATTTTTATCCATGGTAATAGTCCTTCATGCCTAAATTCATTATGTGGCATTACCTCAGGCTGATTGGAGAAAAACAGCAGAAAAGCCAGAAGTCCTTTAAAAAGTTTGTTTATCAGTAAGAAAGCACAACACAGACAGAAAAGACAATGGACATCTTTATTAAAAGCCTGCACAGAAAACTGAATGGTAACTTTTGAATTTAGAGTAAACCGATCCTCATAATCCAAGAAATAACTACAAGCCATCTTAAACAAAAAAACAACAAACATACTATGAGAAGAGGGCTGCAAGCCTTTAATTGTGTCCCAGGATTTCAATACACTTGCAGAATTTATCTTTTTTATATAAGAGTGGTAAATCCCCAGTGCAATGACACTGTTTGATATCAAGCTCAAAAGCAATTAATGCAAGCAGAAACTTACCTTTACAGCTGCTGTCACTGCAGCAGTTGCTGCCAAATTCAACCCCTGCCTTCCAAAATTCACCATGGTCTCATAGCCTCTTTCTTTGGCTTGGACAATGTACTCATCAATCTCCTAAAAGAAAAACGTATTTAAATTTTAGAAGGCTGTTCTAGAGAGCAAAGTTACCCCACAGTATTATTTTCCCATCAGTAAAGGAAGACAGAAGAAATATTTAAGAAAATATTTAATGGGATATATCTTTGTATACAGGTGTTTTATTCACTACAACTCTCTCATTTAAAAAATTATTATATGTGGTCAAACAAGAAGATAAAGTACATCACTTCAGTACAGCTCAGAAACATTGCAAAAAGTTCCTTAGAGAGTATAAGCTTAACTTGTTGTACAGAAGTTTTTCAAGAAATATCATGCATTTCAAGAAATAACATCATCTTACATGAAGAACTCAGTCAGCTCCCTAGAAAGGCAGAGTCAACTTGCAAAGAACTTCCAGAACCACAGCTTTGAAATAGTTAAGTACCAAGGACAAAACAGTTAGACATTTATCTCCAGCTCTGGTAAATGCCTGGAGTTGAAGATAAAGACTGCAAAGTACTTCCCAATAGTTTGCAGAGTACAGGGAAGTATCCCTCTAGCTCACAAAGTTGCAAGTTGTTTATTGCACAACATTCAGAATGTCAAGATACTTACTCTGTTCCTATCAGTGACAATCTTACTACCTGCTTTACCTAATAAAGGCCAAGCCTAGCACTGACCTTCAGGAATGCTATTTTCTGTAGTGTGAGGTTTCTCAGTGCTTGTCTTCAGACCTTTGCTAATTGCTCTTTCCCCTCATCCAGACAGGATGCTGAAAAAGAGCTAAGCAGAGCTGTGTCCCTGTCATACTTTGATTAAAGCAGACCATCTTCTGGCTATTTTTATGTTTGGGTATTTACTGCTGCAGACTGGTTTACCCTTTAAACTCAGTAACAAGTCTCTCCTCTTGTCAGTTTGCAAACCAAAAAAAAGTCATCGATGTCAATCATCCTGAGAAGTGTTATTCCTCGTTTATGCTAGAAAAAAATGTTAACATCAACAGCTTTTAGTAAAGCTGTGTTCATACATTCATATGCTTGCAGTAGAAAGTTAAACTGCATCACTTCCACTTAACTGGGCTCCTCAGAGTGCATCAAGTAGAGCAGGGAACATGAAGCTCTCATGTCAATAGGAAGCAGGACCTGGTCTGCTCAGGCAAGTTAAACAGAAGCATAGACATGGACAATCATGTGCACTTGCTTCTGCTAGTCCAAATTCATGCTGCCTGGCAAGACAGTAACAAGCTGCTCCGCTCTTATACTGTATCTAGCAACAGCTTTTATTTCAGCATATGTTGTTTCCATATTAGGCATTAGAAATCTGAGAAGTTATTTCTTACCCTTTCTTTAGAAGAAAGCAGTGGGTGGAGGAATTTTCTGTAGATTAAACTTGCCCCTCTAGTATATGGGGAAAGGAGCCAGATAACAAAAGCTATCTTCAATTCATAGTACAGTGGAAACCTACAGACAAGTTAAAGGTTGCACAAAATCAACAACTGCAGTAGAAAATGCACAGTAATTAATCTTTATAAAGAGATCTATTAAAAAACCACAATTATATTAGCATTTAGTGTTCTTCAAATACAAGAAGTTACATTAGACAAAAATTAAATGAGTTATGGATTTATGGACTGTCATTTAAGGAATTAAAACAGTTAATATGCTTGTTTTTCATTATATATTCCTACACAGAGAAATTCTAGGCCATCCTTATAAGAGTTCCATTCTCGTATTCAGTTTCTACAGTGGAGCTAGAAATGTTATAGTCCCTACTTCAAGTGACAGTGTACAGCAAATTTGAAAGCAGATGCTGTTCATCTATGCACCAAGATCTTTTCCTGTAAAAAGGGCTATTAAACTAGCATGACTTCTTTATACAAAATAAATCAATACAACTCAAAAACATCAGAAACAAATATAGTTTCCTCTACAGTTCATAAAAAGCAGGGTCTTACCAAGAGACTGTTAGGTCAGTTATCGTTTCAGTAACTGTATAAAGAGCAAACACAATCCAGTACATCATCCAGCGAACCTGAAAATTAAAATAGCATCTTCACTAAGAGCTTTAATTTCACTTTTAGACATAATATACTATACACTGTACAGTTTTTTCAGAGTTATCAAGGCAAGACATTCAACAGTATCTCAGTCTTCATAAACCAGGTATCAGGTGAAATGATCAGGTGAAGATTCCAAAAGATTTCTGTTCATAAGTAGAATTGGTGGAAGCTGCAATAAGCTCAGTGAAATGGCTGTGTCACCAGCATCACAACCTCACATAGGCTGATTTCACAGATTTGATTCTCTCTCTACAAACCTTTAGCGATATAAAAAAACCAGTGCGAGATCAGTAGATTATCCTAAGTATGGAAAACAAATCCCACCATAACACTAACAGATATTTCATTCTCTTCCACACTCAACCATATGTTCATACCATGCACACGAAAGTCAGCATTAGTGAAGCATCCCTTGCTTTCATTTCACAGTATGTGTTATTCAGCTTCACATTACCATTACATTCCACATGTGTGATTACTGGTATGGTATTAACACGGAGGCAAGGCAACATAAAGAGCATTTGCATGGAGATTTTAATTCTATTTATATGCCAAGAACTACAAAATTCTTGTTAATTAAAAAGTTTATGTGTTAAAGCTTCAGGGATTTACAGGTATGAACCTATTTTTGTTTATGGCTTATACTATATATCATTGCTTTGAAATCAGACTTAAAGTTCTTAAAATAGTATAATTTGTTTTATAACAAGTAAGAGAATCACTCCTTTTTCTTGTGCATTTGTTCGAATTTGGTTGCATAAGCTGATTACATGTTTCAGAATAAATACTACAGAAATAGTTCCTATGCATTTGCCTTCCCTAAGCTATGAGATGCCAAATGCAATGTATTTCCAAAATGGGTCACTGCAAACCACCACTGGTTATTTGTACAAACTGAACATCCACATGTTCTTTAAATTCCTAGGAAAATACCCTGCAACAACACAAAACCATTTAGAAACAAACAAACCCCCCAAAAAACCAAACCAGCAAACGGTAAAACAAAACCACCACAACTGTTAGAGACTAGTTTGAGGCCTAAATTCATGGTACTCTCTTTCAAAGGGAGGATATATATATTCCTCGCTTTGAAGGTGTGTGTATGTATATATATATATACACATACACACCTTCCCACAGAGGATGTGGCTCAGATTTAATCTTCCCTTTTAAAACAATCTTATTTGAAGGACTTAAGTAACTACTCTAAACCTAATGATACACTGCTGCCTATTTCATGCATGTGCATTATCATTTAAAACCACTTCCTCTGTCAGAACCTGAGACCCATTTATCTTAAATGCTTTTCTGTGTTTCAGTTTGAAAAGAAACTCAGTCATGTGATAACATTCTTCAATTTCTCAGAGGATTTAGATACTTTAGGGTTGAGTAAACAAAGACACATGTACACAACAGCTGAAGTCATTGCTAACAGGCCATGTGATATTTAGACTGGTGACCCTTCCATGAACCAGAGTCAACACCTGAATGAAAATCAAATCTAACCTTGCCCCATCAACTTAAGCAGAATGCAATGCAATCTTTAAGAATCCTTCCAAGACTGTATTTTTCCCCAATATAAATTATCTAGGTTGTTCCTTCTTTAATGAACATCTATTAATCCAATTAAGAACAGTGTAAGTGGAATTTCTCCTGGGCTTCTAGGAACAGTAAAATTGTCTTGTAGGAGGGCACATGAGATCTGCCAGGAGACCTCCTGAGGACTGGGCAAAGATTCTATAAACCACAAATCATATTCTAGTATGCAGTAACTAATGCAGTAGGTACCACAAGTATCAATGATGTAACAAATGAACATGTGTGACTTAGAGGAGTTTTCATACCAGAAAAAAAGAGAAAAGGACATGAAAAATTGAAGGTCAGATTTCACACTACTGAACACTATCACCTACTTTAAGTAACAGAATCTTCAACTGAGTTTTATTTTTCATGTTAAAAAAAGTGATTACAGATTTGTTCAGTTGAGGGTTTTTTTCCTAGCATCCAAGTGTTAAGCTCATCTTTGTTGGTTTTATCTGAAGCATATTCTTTCAGGTCAGGATTTTGAAGCCAGTATTTGAAAAGGCTGGTCTGTTCAGACATATAAACTACATTTCAGATGCTTATTTCAAGTGCTTTGGTGCAATACAGTGAAAAAACATCTCAAATATCTTCATCAACTCCCTTAAACCAGGATAATTACAAGAACAAATAAATCTCCTCAAAGGCCCAGATTCTAATTTTTAGCACTGAAGTCCATAAGTTTTTTAAATTACCATAAGCAGCACAACACTTTTTTCCCCCCAGAAATAATCTTTGACCAATTTGCTGCATCATGACCTACACAATAAGTCAAGATGTCTATTCTTTTTGTTTGGTTGGTTTTTAGTGGTGGAAGTAGTGGCTGGGTAAAATATTTTACTGTTACAAAGCTCTTATCAATTCAGCAACAAACACAGATGGCTTCTGAGCCACACAAAACCCTGGAAAGGAAGTTGTGCTTGGACCATAATGTGAGTGGTGGCAGACTTGTGCCATTTGGAAAAATGCATTTAAATCTAAAACCTTTACTGTGAAAGAAGATTACCCAGCTGGGAAGACGACAGCCATGGATCATCCCTAAGACCTATCTGGACAGTCAACCCAATCAGCAACGGAATGATAACTCACTGATGAATCACTGTCATGCCCTGCTAATCAAAAAATCACTGTGATGTGTCTTACCCATTTTGGCCCCCTGAGTATTTTGTATATGACTGCAAGTTCTGGGACTATTCAAAAGACCACAGGCACACACTAAAAGAGCTGAAAAAATGTAATTCCAGGCCCTGCTAGCAGGGGTCCTGAGTAACGATGCCCAAGAAAGACATTTAGGTCATGGCTAACTGGACAGCTAAGGTGAGAAAAAATTCTCAGTATTCTAAACTATTACTTTTCTTTTTTCTAGAAAAGATAGTGCAAGAGGCAATGGTAACCTCTTAAATTAAAGTGATTTCCTTTATTTTGGTTGGAAACTGCTATGCCCTACTTAGCCTGTGGATTCATTTTGAAGGCGCAGGGAAGAAAAGTAGATTATAAATTCTTTGCATTATAGAGTTTCCTGACAGAGTAATACAAGCATGATACAGAAAATTCACCTCTTAGTTTTGATGAATTTTTTCTCTCATGAGTTTAGCTCTGGAAGGCACCAGCTCTATTTCACAAATTAGTGCTAATCAGCTTGTACACAGAAATCAGAAGTACAAATACTATGCCCTTTGAGGCCTTGATAGGGTGATGAGACTGAATTAAGACATTCAAGGGGAGGAACAACAGCTACCACATTGTACAGCTACCATGAAGTACAAAATTAAGACATCACACATCAGACAACAGCCTTAGGCCACAGCTATGGTTAACTTATGGTTGAGTTAAGAGTAACTGATGGCCCTGACCCCACCCTGAGACAGGCTGCAAAGTTAAGGGCAAGATTCAGGACAGGTTAGTTGCTGAAATCAAGTCAGGCTGTCTCTTAAAATAAGGAAGTAGCTCAGTGACTAAGTGACTAGCTCTTTGTGACTGCACCTGGTTAACATTCTCATGATTATCCTCATTGCTCACACTGACAAGTAAATAATTTAATAGCTTAATTAAAAACTGAAGTAACTATAACTGTGTTTTTCTCCATCTTTTTCTTTTGTCCCTCTTTTCTCCACACCACCTTAACCAAATCTATTCTTCCTCCTCATTGAGGAATAATAGATTAACAAGAACTACCCTTTTCTTAGGTAGGTTTTGAGTCTCCTATTGAGCTATGATACTAAGCTGCTGCTCTTCTAGTGGTAACTGTGAATCAGTTTGTCAATACTTATACTTGAAGTGTTGGCAGAATTAGGAAACTTTCATTCTACCCCCTGCCTGAAAGTGCATTATTTCTTGTACTTTGCTGAAATGGAACCAAGACTTTAAGGTTTACACTAAAAATACTCTTAAAAAAAAACCAACTATATACAGCATAGTGTCTTGAACATGTTTCAGCACAAAACTATGTAATGTATGAGATGCCTTAACTTTAACCTTCCAAACAAAATCAGAGGATTACCACTAGATTCACACAAGTATTGTATCTAACAGTAAAACAGTCAATTCAAGCTTTCACGTGATTTATTACACAATGAAAATGTCACATATCTATGTTAGCAGAGGCATGCAATTAAACAATTAAAATGAATGAGACTTACATATTCCTTCACATTTTTTGTCTTCACAGCTTTGTATGAGTAATATGCGGGATACAGCATCCCAAACACCAGCCTATTGAAAAACAGAAACAGCCTTCAGTATCTGTTACACTGTATATGACAAAACAGTGACATCATTAGAACAATGCAGTCACCTTAATACAAAAAATCCTGCTCTCTAGCAATTAAAAAAAATCGGGGGAAAAAAAAAAAATCAGTGTTATGTGTTCCTTGGAGGAAGTTTCATTATAGGCAAAACTAGAACAACATGAACAGAAAAGGGTGTATGCCCTAAAGACAACAAACTGTTTTGTAAGGCTGCTTCTAATAGATAATGTAAACTGGTTGTTCTGGTTCATTTACAGGTAAAACCAGTGCTACAGCCTTTCAACACCAGAAGACAACAGAAGATAGTGCTGGCAGTGCTATGACACTTGAAGAACCTCTGAACCTATCAGTAGTTTATCACAACCATCTACTTTTATCAGACTACCAGAAATTTATTTCAAGACAACACTGACTTACAATATTTCATCTCCTTTTGCTAGGAGTCTGCAACAGCAGCATTTAGAATCGGAAGAAAATCAGGAATTAATCCACTTTTGCTCAGACAGCCAATTGCTGCTGAAATTCATCAAAAGCAAGATACAGAGCAGGATGAGAGGGTGCCAAGCAATCCATGCTGAGAGCACAGTCAGAACGAAGATCTGCTCTAACTCAACTTTGTTACAACACAGCACTTTCTAGTAAAAGTCTTGGCCATAGACTAGAACAGTACTTTATGAAAAATGAACAGCAGTAGTTACCATCTACTACTTGATAAATGCAAGAGCTCCGTATTTCTATTTCACTGCGGGAAATAAGAAAAGCCTTACAGAATTATGACCTTTCTAAGCTTTGCTAAATCCTGTTCACTTCTGTTCACAAAAAAGCACTCTGGGAAAGGGTTCAGCTGCAGGCCAGAAGGCTGGAGATTGGGTTGATAGTCACCTCGTGTGTGAGGCAATGATTGGTTGGGGAAGCATGTGGACACCACTTGATCAGAGCTGAGTGGGTAAAGGGATGCACTGAACAGTGACACTGCACTGGCAGGCAGCCAATGCACACTAGTTTTGGTTAAGTTTCACTTATAAAAAGGCTTGGTTTGTTACAATAAATGATCTTCACAGCTAACAAGGAGGTCTGTGTGTCTTTGTTCCCCATTGCTATGTTTCACCACCTTGCTACATTTTGTAAAATTAAGCTAATCACCTGCCTTTAAATTCCACCTGGCCTGCAACAGCCTTTAGAGAAAAGTCTGGCTACACCTCTACAGCATCAGTAACAACTTGCTCTAGGTAGTTACATGGGAGAAATTTGCACTTGTAGGGATATCCAAAAATCCTCAAAGTTCAGAACTTAAAAGTAATTTAACATCTTATAGTTAGACAAAGGCAAAGTTATTTACCAAAGTAAATAACCAAAATTTTGTATTTTATTGTTGCCCCAGGCAGCTTTAAGTAGTTCTACCTACACAGCCACTGCAGAAGACTGCATGATACTACCACAGAACTTTGTGAGTGTACAAGACAACAATGTAAGTTTGGATTCAACCAGTTTGATATACACCATTTTCCAAGCATCACTCTGGTATGTATGCAGAAGCCTTCTGCTTGGTAGGAAGCAAATTTAGAGTACTAAACTCATCTCCAACAGTTAATGTATAGTACATAAGTGGAGGGGAAATGGACTTGCTAAAAACAAAGATTTCCTTCAATATCAGACACCACACAGACTGTTTCTCCACCCTTAGTGCACAGAGTTACCCCTGGAAGGAAGCCTCTTTCAGTGGGATACTGGCAGAGGTTCTAAAGTTAAGCTGTAGATGCTTCAAGTGAGAGAGCTTGATAAAATTATGGAAGCATAATTGCAGAACCCTTCATGTTCTGAAGGGTCTTGCAAAGTCATCTAGTCCAACATCCTGCTCAAATCAAAGTCAACATCAGATTTGGACCAGACTTCTTAAGATTCAGCTAGTCAGGTCCTGGAGGCTTCCAAAGAGATTCCACATCCTCTCTGGGCAACTTATTCCAATGCTGAATGAACCTCTTTGTGCAAAAGTTTAGTTGTATTCAGCCAGAACCAAAAGTTTATGACTATTCTATCTTTTGAGTGAGAAGCAGAGCAAAAAAAAGAATGGGCCTGGCTCTCTTAACCACCAAGAAGTTGCATGAAATTGCTACCAGTTCTCCTCAAAGTCTTCCCTTTTATGGCTGAACAAGCCCAGTTCATTCAGGCACTCAACACAAGTCATGCGCTGATGACCTTGATGGCCTCCGCTGAACTTTCTCAAATAAATTAAAATCTTTCTGGTATTAAGAAGCCCAAAGTTGAGCACAGTCAAATAAATAAATTTCACATCTACATTGCCATCCATAATACATAATTTCCTCTTAATTTAAAAATTACAAAACCCAAAGAAAATCCTGTATTTGCTTAAACAGCAAAGAAGGCTCTAAGATAAACAATGGGTTTTAATACAGAACAAAAAAAAAAATCACTACATGATTATAAGTAAGACTTAAAGCTAGTTAATCATATATAGCTCTTTCACAAAACAAGGTGAGATTCGAACAAAGCTTCTGAGTCTCATGTGCAATCCTGGCATGTATTGGGCTTTTACTCATCCAACAGAGTTGTTAACTGCTAGTACTACAGAGGAGCCAAAGAGCACTTCAAGCAGGTCTCCACAAGATTAGATCCCTCTGGAGTGGGAAGGGATGGTCACTTCAGATCACTCAAACCAGTACTGATACGGAAGAGGATTAACAGGTGCACCTTAGTGGCACTTTCATACCTGGATACAGGTGTTCAGGATTCCTCATTTCATGTTACACTGGATGTAACAGAAGATGGATCCTGGAGCTGTTTAATATAGGAAAGGCAAGTTGCTACCCCACTGGAGCAAAACTTACCTACACTTAAGATGTTGAAAGGCCTATTGATAGAGTCTAGACTACCTGAATTCCAGCTCAACAATATCAACAACTGTGTTGTAACCTGTAGAAGCCTATCCAAATACAGCTCTGCTGCAATCCTCAGACCTTTTAACCTAAGGCCAAGAAAAGCAACAATTAAAAACCAAAGCCTGAATGGTTTTATTCCCAGCTATGAGAAAAGCCTGACAACACAAGTTAAAAATATCACTTCACCCAAATAACATGAGATCCAGAAACAGAAGGAATAGGAGACCAAACACCTTTCATTTTGTTGAAATTCTGCAGACAGCAGCACTTCCTTTGATTTTTGTCCCTGTGGAAAACCCTGTTAGGTAACACACCAGCTCTAATGTCCCTCACCTTCCCTTGTTCTGGCTGAAATTATAACCATTAAGTATCAGAGATAAGAAAAGCATTTGTTAATCCTGTAAACCATAAAACAGACTTTATAAGGGTGGAAATTATTTGTTCGAAGAGAAGATACAAAAGAGGTTCCTGAGTACCATAACCACCAACAACTGTCTCACATCTCCACCAGTTACTGGTCATCTATGCACCTCTCCCTAATCCTAAAAATACCACTCCAAATATATTTAAATAACTATTAGTAGCCTGCTCATGTGTCTTGCAATGAAGCATATGAAAGGGAAACAGCTTGAGTCTTTCACTTTAGAGATTTTTCAGCTATACTTTTCCACTCACTTTACTGTCATGTAGCATCACTTCTATAAAGACAGAAAACAACATACTTTTAAATTTAAATGGCAATTTATCCTCTAAACATATCAATCTCAATATGCTATAAACAAACTAGGACAAAACAATTTTGAGAACACTTCTTCGGAAACAACTGATGTTAAGCAGAAAGCTTATTGCAGCAATAGTAAGTCAATCATAAAATTAAAGATGACATCAAGTTAAATAAGAACACAAGCATAAGACAAACACAATAAATGTAGCCAGTTTTTCCCATCTAGAAAAAATCTGTTACTTAATACTAGTCAAATCAGGAGTTAAAAAAAACCTATTTTAGTAACCACTTTTTGTTTTAAAGAATTTTTCCAGAAAACACTTTAAAACTGCAGAGTGCGGAGTGGTTAACACCACAATATATCATCATTATATTATTCTGTAATATTGTTATTGTTATAAATTTGTATTGTGATATTGGCTTTCGCAGATGAATATTATATGTTAAATACTTTTTAGCTATGTATGTACTTTTTTCTTGCTAACAAGTCTTAAGCTTAAAAGAATTTCCTAGGTACAAGGCAAGGAAACCCCAGAGGGCAAGGACAGTGGGGCCCAAACTCTTATCAAGAGAACAATAGAGGCCAAACTGTTATCAGCGGAAGATATGAAACCCATCTGTCCTCAGGGGAAGGATGATGGCCCCGGACTGTTATCTGCCCTGACCATTTGCAAAAAGAAAGGAAACGAAACTCCAGAAAAATGCTGACCAGCAAGAATAATGATGACCAGCAAAAAATATATGCTGACCAGCAGAAAATAAAACTGTGAAAAGCATGATCCAAGAAGGCGGAACCAGGGAGGGGACATGCTTGAATATGCATTAACCCCTCACAGCAAGGAGGGGATAAAAAGGAGATCCCTGGGATACCAGGTGTGCTCTTGGCAGCGCGCCAAGGCACCCGGCCATTTTAACCCTTTGTTTTATTTCTTATGTCTCCTAATTGTCTTTTATTTATATTAAATTCTTTTTATAATTTATTAAGTGAATCTCGTTTTTAAGATTATCATTATATATAAACCAATATTTAATAATTCAGTAGCGTTTTCAATATTGCTATAAAATGGAAGTGTTAGAAAAACCTGTGTTTTCCAACTAAAACTGCTCCACTGACTCACTAGAAGTCAGTAGATATGATTAAAACAAAACATCAACACATTTAGTCAATAATAATAGGAACCAGTACTGTTTTTATCTCCTTACAGCCAGAGCTGACATCAAAAGTGTGGAATGATGCTGCTGCCAACTCTGGCACCACTTTCTTCTTCACACACGCAAAATCCTCTAACTTTAGTTAAACCTACCAGGCAATTTTACAGTTCAAAAGACAACTTGTCAACAGTG